TATCTACTATAATTTATAGTCTTTTTGGGACAAAGATTGTTTTCTGTTTCTGCACTAAACTGTACTAAAAGGGTGATATTTCATTGTGCATTTTTGTCATACAACAAATTTTTCAAGCCTATTGATTGGCTGTGAGAGAGATCCGAGGACCTCTCTGTTCTGTACACATTTGTCGTACGACAAAAAACGCACAAATGAAATAGCACGAACTCTCTTTTTCACTTTCGACAAATATCAAATATATACCTATTTCATTTTAAGTTCCAAAAGTGTATACTGGTTCAGCTATAGAAAACAGATCTCATGTAACATAAAATAAAAAATGATTATTAGTTAAATTGTAGTATTTGCAATCATTTATGATAAGAGTAACTTATTCGTAATAATTATATTCATTTTCTGTTGCCAACTAAATTATATATGGTGTCTTATTTTAACTTAGACCAAAATATCTCAAAATAAAAATGTTTCAAATAAAAGTTATAAGATTTGAAGAAGGCCAGATGCCAGTATATATAATTACAGTACCAAAAATTTTTTTCTTAATGTAGGAGGAGAAGATAATACAGCCTTGTGGCTATCAATTGGCTATCAAAAGTCATCCCGTTCCAACAGCACATTTCGCCCGGGCGTTATAACGGAAGGAAATTATCAGTGATATGTAATCGTCAAACAGTCGTCATGACTAACGGTTGCTACTGAGAGAAGTTCGTCATCTTGAAAATCGGCGCTTGTCCGCCGAAGAAGGAAACGTGACCGATACCTTCTTTCTCGTTAATCTCAAATACGGCAGTATCATCGTGTATATATATATATATGAGATGTATACACAAGATACGTTCTGTTTACAAAATTAATATATGCCCTCATGATCCGAAGTTTCGCATGAATTCCACATGAATTTAAGTGACAGTCTATATATTGACAATGAGAGAAAAAATACTTTATATTTATGACTATAATTGTATGGTGAAATAATGGTTAAGAGTTCTATTTTTGTAGTTATTTTATTGTTAAATATATTTAATTGGCATCGAAAATGATCGTAAATTATAGTCAAAATATGATAATTATAATCGTTTTCTTCTTTCAATGTCCTTGACTGATAGACTGTCCTTTCTGATAATCAAAACAGATGAAGAAATATAGAAAAATGTTTGAAAAGTGCAATAAACCTGTATATTCATTTCTAATTATTAATTATATCTAATTATTTTCGAAGACAATCATATGTTTTTTTTGGCATATAGAACTAATTATAATTAATTATTATTACTAGTATTACAGCAGTAATAATTATAAAAATAAAACTCCTGGCCATAATTATTTTACCTTGCAATTATAATAAAAAAGACCAAGTACTTTTCTCTCAGTGTATAGATCAATTAACGCTATGATTTTTTATCTTATTTTTTTTAATAATTGCGTTTGAAGATGCGAAAAAGCAACTAAAAGAATAAATTTTGTTGCATGAGTGCTCTTTTATCTTTTACGAATACTAAATTTTAGAATAACTAAATCTACTACGTATGAAAATTTTATTATCGCATTTTCCTTTTATGTTTTATCATTTTCTTTTTTATTTGCATGCTATCAACACGCAACCTAAATAAAAATGTAAACGTCCTTGGTTTAATTAATTAAACCATCATAATCTGAGTGGGAGAACTTTATCTATAAAATTCAAGGTACTGCTGAAGGGTACTTCATTTTCCTCGAAGGGATTTTTATAGATCATTCTCCAGAAGAGTTTCAAATAAATCGTACTAAATCAAATTAAAATTAAAAATCAGATATTAGTAGGAAAAAAAGAAGTAAAAATTTCATTTTAATTTTGTTCGCCCATATGCTTCAATAATATGTGGCAATAAATGCCAAACAGCTAGAATAAATAAGAAGAAATATTCCGAAGATATTATCGTTGCTCGAAAGATAAAATACGGAAAAAACATTTCTTCAGCTTTTTCTGTTAAGTATGTATTTTGATATGGCATAATATCTGATTATCTCGAAATAAAAGATTCGTTTTCGCAACTGCGGGCGCAATCCGGTTCGATAGCGAACATCATTCTCGAATTAATATACGAGAGTGACATTTGCATGCGATCGCAATTTTTACTTAAAAGTGGCCGTGTATTGAAATTTACGTGTTTTTAGACTGATCTGAAATTCTAAAGCCGTATTCCCGCTTACGAATGTCTGATGAGCCAGAATACGACTTTTAAATAAATCACGGCGATTCTATATATACTTTTCCCCATCAAATTTCTACAGAAAATTTTAATTTCTCTGTACTTTAAAAAAAAAGAACAATATACGTTAAGAGAAAAAAATTATATTGCAATTATATAATTATAATTTAACTATATTTTATAGTTTTAGTTCATTATTATTTAATTTTGATTTTTTTAATCCAATCTTCATTTTTAAAATCTTCATTTTTTAAATAATTTATAGTCATTTTTTATGTCACAATTAT